AATGCCAGATTCTGCTGGATTCTGGCCATGTCGGTTTTTTCGTACCAATATTACTAAAGTGAGATGCACTTAAAGCGAAGTGTGTGCTGACTGCACACAACATGAACTGTAAAAGCTCCCTGTACATCCAATCAAAGCAGTGCTACAGTTCAATCAGCACATCCCTAAAATTCTAGGCACACAAGTGCAGTTAGCAAATCTATGCCAGATTCTGCTGGATTCTGGCCATGTCGGTTTTTTCGTACCAATATTACTAAAGTGAGATGCACTTAAAGCGAAGTGTGTGCTGACTGCACACAACATGAACTGTAAAAGCTCCCTGTACATCCAATCAAAGCAGTGCTACAGTTCAATCAGCACATCCCTAAAATTCTAGGCACACAAGTGCAGTTAGCAAATCTACTCTATCCCAGGAGACTGTCTTGGTTATGACGGTCTTGCAGCCCACTGAAATGAAGGAGGGCCACTCATGTGGTACACTCACTAGCCTAGGTGGCCCATCGCTGCTTTAGCACAACCGGCAAACCCAGAGCTAACAACTGTAAATCCAAGACACTCAAGTGTAGGCTTAGAAACACTGAATCCAGGAGCCCAGATGCCAGGCTTAATGCGCCTTGTAGCCAAACCCTTACAGTGTTGTCAGTTCTCGGGTAGTGTGGTTTGTTTACAACAATCCTAATTTCAAAAGGGGATTGACAATTTTGCCTTCCTGTAATACAGGGCCACTTAGCAGCAGCCAGATGTGACTTTTTTCTATTTTGCACTGGGTAAGTGGACGTTCTATTACAGCACACAACAAGAGACAGCACTAGCTATAAATCTATATACATAAAATCAGCTTTCCAGGATCTCAGACACTGCAATGTTCCAAGGATTCTAAGCCTGGAAAGCTTCAAGTACATCTACTTAGCAGTCTCAACATATACTGGCTAAATAATTCAAGTTGTACTGCGCAATGCAGCTCCCTTCATCTGGGCTGAGGAGTCATCTGAGTATTACGCTCATTGGATTAGATAATTTGAGCATGGCAAGGGCATTCCATAGCACAGTGTGAATTAGTTTCTCAGCAGACACTGGGAGCAGCTAGAAATGCAACTGTGACCCTTGCAAGCCCAGAACATTCATTATGGGATTTTTTGTTTGTTTGTGATTTTAAACTGTACACTGCTTCTGGCAAACTGTTAGAAATTTTTGAGTGACAGCGGAGGGATCTCCACACACAGACTCCGATTCAGCCAGGTACTTAACATGGGATGAACTTTAAATACATGCTAAACTCCTCTTGTCTTCAACATTACCTAAGAATGCATTTAAAATTAGGCACACTCTTCAGTGCTTTAAGGAACATAAATGGATTTTAGCAGGTCAGTAACTACGTCCCCTGCTGAATCAGGGCCCTAGAAAGAGATGCTTTGCATTATACAGGAACAGGCTCTTGATTAGGAGAACTCTCTTTGTGGTTAAACTAGGGCATTTAATAAAGGATATCATAGCCTGTCCAAGGTCTTGTCTACACAGGAATTTTTTTTAAGAGGGTGTAAGATAAGGTGTGACTGTAAACTAGTAGTTTTCGTTTTCAACCTATTTACTAAAGTAGGCCAGATATGCAGCTCACTCTGTTTATAGACAGAGTGTGGGAGTGGCCTACATACTATCTGCATATCCCAGAGGATGTCACATGGGCTGCAGCTGTGTGCTGATTGGGCCACAAGCTGCCTATGGGTTGAGAACTGCTGCTGTAAAACCGACAAAGTATGACTGGTAGAACATACTTATTCCAGTATAACAGTGGCTGTATTCAGTATAAGTTATGTTGCTTCTATAAACAATAAGAATGTTCATAGAGGCATTTATATCAGGATAACTATACCATCGTAACAGATAAAACTTTCCCCATGAGGAAAAGCCCTAAAGTCCCACTCTCACTGAAGTCAGTGACAAAATTCTCACTAAATCTAAAAGCGTAGGATTGAAAAAGAAAGAAAGCGGGCATACTTAAGTAAAATCACTTTTCTAGAGATTAGGTGTGTGGTGTTTATTGAACCTCTTCTACTCAAAACCTGCAATGATTAACAGGAAGTGCTGTTCCAGATCTATTTTTCTCTCTCTCACACACACACACACAAACACACACACACACACACACCCTTTCCAGTGAAATGTCAGAGATTTACTTTAGTCAGTTCTTCCTACACTCTCTTGGATCCATTAGAATATATGCTTGACAGAGGTTCAAAAGCTTTTTATGTGTGGCACATGACAACTGCAGCAGTTGTCACAGAAACCTGTGGGAGAAGATTGTTTTTCTTCTAAGGCTCTCTCTGTAAATGTGAAGACTTTTTTGTAGTCTGAGAAAAGACAACAGACTTGACACCAGAATGGAGATCACACAACAGAATGGGTATACCCTTAATATGTAGGTTCAAAGGCAGAAACCACACACCCCCACAGATCTGAGTATAGAAGAGAAGATACCTTCAATCTTCAGTGCTGATTTTGCATGTCCTATTGCTTCCCAAGGTGACGGAATGTCTAGGAATACTGCATCTGCAACATTTGAGACCCCAAACCCGTTTTTACAGACGTCCTGATTCTTCACTGTAACAAGGTGTTCTACTTTATGCTCCTGGAACTCCTCCTCCGCTTTCTCTGCTCTCTGTTGGTGGAACTCCACTGTGTACAGATGCCCTGTAGGAGCCACCGTCCTGATGATAGCATGAGAAAGAGAACCACTTCCGGTACCTAAAGAAAAACAAAACAAAAAAATATTTGAAACACTTTGACACAAAGGTCTAAGTGCCTGTAGAATGGTCTTTCCTAGTGAATTAGCATAAGCTCAAATGCTTGGAATATTTAAAAAAAACAACAACACAGAATGAATGAAATCATTAGTAAAATTTATAACAGCACACAGCCCCACATTAGCAAGGACATGCACTAGACGACCCAATGGGTTTTCTCCATGTTTAGATTCTAGGAACACGGATCAAAAGCCATGCAAGACTTGAATGTTTTGCCTTTAAAAGTAACCTTTTCTTTATAAATTCCTACATCTTTCTGATTCAACATTTACAGAAAGCAATTTCCCCATGGGTCCTCAGATCACTTGTTGAACCAACACATGAGCTGAGAAAGAAAACTTGATGTTATGGAAAGCACCTACCCATCACTGTGATTGTTTATTCCTATATATCCTGATAAATAAAACAAACATTATATGCACAGAAACCATAAGTTCTCCAACCATTATCCAAAATTTCTTTTGGGGGAAAGTCAAGAACAAATTGTTACATCTCACTTAAGACTTTTGTATTAGGTGAAATTTTGCTGACAAGTATCAATGTCCGAAAGTCCTATTTGTGTCCACACAAGCAAAGCCCTTCAGAACAAGAATTATTGTTATTGCTTCTTAGTATTGAGCACTACATATATTCAAGGTGCTATAGACTAAACCCCTGTGAGGTGCAGAGCACACTCAATTCCCACTAATGCCAATAAGATTTAAGAGGACTCAGCATCTTGCAGTATTGTGACCTACACAACCCTGATTCAGAAAAGTACATACCTAACTTTAAGCACGTAAATAATCTTAATGAAGTAGAACCACATACATGGTTTCAATCCGGTATGGGCTAGAGAACCATGCTGCATTAGACCTATATCAGTAAGCCAGAGGATTTTGTATTTCAGGGTGTGTCTACACAGCAGGACTTAACTCTAAATAAGCTACGCAAATTGAGCTACACCAATTGCATAGTTTATTTTGAAATAGCTTATTCTGAAATTGGGAGCATCTACATGGCACTTATTTTTAAATAGAGCTCTCTCCCTATGGCTTCCCTTACTCCTCATACAGTGAGGGTTACAGCAGTCAGAGTAAGAAGTCCGCCAGCTTGACAGTATTTCAATTTTACTTCAAAATAACTGCAAGCTGTGTAGACGTAGACTAAGTTATTTCAAAATAATATTACTGTGTAGATGTACCCTTACTGATTTAGAGAACATTTAAAAAAATAACTTTCGGCCTTCTTAAATAGACAGCTGAATGAATCAGCAGCAATGCTTGCATTAAACAAAACAGCAAACAAGCAAACTCAAATTCCTAAACTTCTTCACTGTACAGATTACCTAACCAAATTGTTGCCTGAAGTTCTCCCTATTCAAAGGAAAAAATTAGCACATTGAGGTGAGCATCACACATACACCAGGGAGGGGCCCATTACCATGGGCACCCAAAAAACAGCACACAGACACTCCCATCCATGAGTTGTAGAGGCACACACAAGTATTCCCAACCTCTTAAAATGGATTCTAATATGGTAAGCAGGACACTATTAGAACTAACATATGCATAGCAATGTGATATTGTCTTCGGATTGATTTTTAGGACAACAGCAGTGAGCTATTGATCACAAGATGCTCAAGTGACCAAAATCCTGACCTAATGTCTCCTGCCAGAAGGCATGATTGCATGACAGAACTTTTGCACCCCCAGGGAATGTAATTATTTTACCTTCCAACTGGCTAATGTTGCACTCTCTCTGGATCTATCCGCAGTTTATGTAAAAGAAGCAAACAGAAGAACTGTCAGCACAGCTGTGACACAAGTAGAAAGGGAGGCAGCTTGTATGTGTATCTTGTTTCCTTCTTCATATTCTTTTAAATTTTTAATGACCTTCCTCTTAAATCTGCTCTGAAAACACCACAGAAGATGTTGTTTTTCTCCTTTTTTAAGATCCCCCACAAATGCTCCAACCCAAGACCAGAAATAAAACAAGATGCTGAATTTAAAGAGGAGGCATGTGCAGGTGCATATTCCATATACTGCAGTTCCTTAAGTGAGGTTACCAGGAATCACTTTGTCACCACTTGAGTACTATGAACACAGGAAGAATACATGTAACCATATAAAATTCTATTATACTAACGGCGTCAATGCTCTCCTTTCTAAAGATGCTTACATGGCTGCCCTTCCTGCCAACGTTCTCAGCTTCCCATTGTTATGAGAACAGCAATTCTTAGTCACAAAACCTTGTAGAAATTAGCTTTTCTAAAGGTGCTGAACATTATAGATACAATCCTGTGAAGCACTAAGTGCCTGGCCTGCTCTGACTTCAATCCGAGTTCAGGGCTCTCAACACCATGCAGAATAGGTCCCTTCACAGATTAATATTTCCCCCCTGCATTCACGGCAGTTCACTGCATTCAGCATCTATCCATAGGGTAATCAGACACTGCCATTGCTACCCAATCTGCAGTATCTTACGAATGCAGGGCATTAACTGGATGTTTCTGGTGCAGCGCAAGGGCAAGAAAAGGTTATTTCCTCCTCGGCTACTGATACGTAATGATAACACTCCTTGATAGTTTCTTCCTCTCATCTCCCCAATTTGTTTTTCAATTTTTTCCTGAGTCCTAATCAGCAACTGAAAAGTAGAATTCAGCAAAATGCTGCCTACAATGGTTTCAAACTGCAGCACTCCAAAGAGGGCTTTTGCTAGGAGCAGGAAACAATTTTATCTGGCTGCTCTCTCTGGGATACAGGATCATTTAGGCAAGCAGCCAAATGCAGGGGGCACTGAATGTTTGCGATCTATTGCTCAGTTTGTGCTAAGATTTTAATCACATTGCAATAATGTCTCCACAATAATATTCTCTCTCTCTCATATTTAAAACCCAACAAGCTAAATTCAGTCCTTGTCTTCAGTAGGATTCCATTCCCTAAACAACAGCAGTAAATTTGTCCCAGAACTGTTTACACTGGGTATGTGCTGAAAGCAGGACAATTTCTGGGACAATTACAGTTTTTGTAAGTTATACACTAAGTTGTTTGAGTTTTTGATAGGTTGTAATATAAATGGTCTTACAAATTAAGTTTACTCTCTAGCATATTACCACGTATGTATCAGTAGTATGAGGACAGCAAAATCTAGGTTACTTTACACTGCATTAAAAAGCTGTTCTTAATGGCAGCTACTGCTGTAGAAATCAGGTATGTAATTGCATGCAAACACCATCTGTGAATCCCACTCAAGCTGCTACAGGTCCAGAATAAGCCTGTGGTCATTGTTAATGAGCTTTGCAAGCCTGATGTTTCTCTTTACTGACTAAATATTTTATGATTTAAAAGTTCAGCCACAGAGTTACATTACTGCAGTGTGCACACATAACGGCATCAGGCAGATTCCTGTGACAGATCTCTCTTCCTGTGGGCAAAATTCATAACCCGAACTATCGACAATGTATGGGGAACCATAGGCACACCAACTCCATGTCTGGTGCTAGAGCACTCCTGGAAAAAAAAATTGAGTGATTAGCATTTACCAGTAGCCAGCACCCCACACTGACCCCAGCACAAAACAGGGTTCTGGGGTGTTCAGGAGCTGGGAGGAGGGGAGAAGGAGGGATGAGGTGTGTTCTGGAGAGAGGGTGAAACTGGGTGGGAAGAGATGGGGTGGGAAGAAACGGGGTGGTGGAGAGGACAACCCAGGGAAAGGAAGAAGCCAACGCCTATATGGGGTACCAACCTAAGGACCAAGGAGCCAGAGGCAGGGATTAAGCTCCTGTGCACAAACCACAGAGGCTTTGTAGCTGCTTGCAACTCTGTAGATCAATGGGCCACTCTCCACCAGCTCACTCACATTCCCTTCTCCCCTGATGAGCCTCAAGCTCTATGGAGCTAGGTACGTCCTACTCCCAGCCTGCCTAGCTGCAAGGCACTCCATGGTTAGAAGGATTTGTGCCAAAATACCATGTGGTATTTCTGCATCTTCCCACTGTTCCCATCAGTGTGTGGGAAATGCAGCAAAGTAGTGATTAAATAACCATACAAACCTTATTGATTGCTCAGGCATAGCTGTTCTTTTCACTCACTCCTTACTGTAACAAGATTTTAAAAGCAAAATTTCTGCACAGACCCCAGCCATCTTGATCTGCATGTTTATTTTATTCCTCATCTGTTGTAGAAGGGCATATTTGATCCCTTAAAATAGTTTATGATATTTCAAAACTATGTAGAACACATCACACCACACCAGTATGTATATTACCTATAAATGCAATTCTATCTAGACACACATCACCCCATGATCACTAAACCCCAACAGTATATTATCAGGAAGCAAATTGCAAACAAGTGATTGCTAACCAGTTCTAAACATTAAACTAGCTTGCTTTTCACCTGGCAAGGGATACTTAAATGTGGTCTCCTGGAAACCCACCAGCTTTTGTATGTAGGAAGCCAAACTTTGAGTTGCATTACCTTTGGTTGCTACAGATGGTACGCACAGGCAGGGGTACTGGAACAATTTGTATAGCAGGGGTGGGGACTGAGAACTATTGAACAAAAGTGCAAAACCCTGTATATAATAGGAGCCCCTCTAGTTACTCCAGTATCTATCTGCACAGGATCTTTCCCGGACTTCCTGATTATAGGATTCTGTTTTTAAACAAACAAAACATTTAATTTTTAAAATACAGATGTGTATGGCTGTGCAGATGTGGGTGTATCTGACTGAATCTCCACTGCCAACCCTGTAATTCAGAGGTTAAGGTTAGAGAAGCTCACAAATCCACAGGCAGTCTCAGATTGCTTGGAGGTAAGAAAAAGTTAAAAAATTTAAAGAGCACTATCAAATATTATGTCAGCATAATATTCATACAGCATATCAGTAGATTTGTGGGGATGACTGCAAGATTTGGTCAGATGCATCATATATTTGGGTGCAGCAAATACAATAAAA